GGGGCGGGGTGGGCCCAGTTTTTCTGGGGCGGGGCTTGTGCCCCTGTCCGCGGGGCTGTGGCTGGGGCCTGGTCTGCCTCCCCTCCCCACACCTCTGCGTCTCCCCTCCTCCCTGTGCCTTCCTCTGCCCTCACCAGCGGCACGAGCGCTTCGCCGAGAGGCCGGCCCTCCTGGAGCTGGAGAGATTCGTGAGTCAGGGACTGTGGGATGGGGGCCACCGTTCCCAGCCTCACCCTGCAGGGTCCGGACCCAGGGGCCACACTGACCCTCCTCCCCGGCCCCGCCCTGCCACCCCGAGTTGTCAGCCGCGCCGGGCTTCTGAACTCGGTCCCTATATTCCAGGAGCGCAGGGCCCTGGAGCGCAAGGCCGCGGAGCTGGAGGAGGAGCTCAAGGTGGGCGCTCCGGGGCACCGCGGGCGTGTGTGTGTGTGTGTGTGTGTGTGTGTGTGTAGCTGCCCGGCCACCCCACTGACCCAGCCCTGCGCCCCAGGCCCTGTCTGACCTCCGCGCCGACAACCAGCGGCTCAAGGATGAGAACGCAGCGCTGATCCGCGTCATCAGCAAGCTGTCCAAGTGACTCGAGGACTTGCCGCACCGCATCCGTACAGCTGCTTCTGCCACACGCACCCTTCCCCGCGTGAACACGAGGGACGGCTCCGGGGGAGCCGCTGAGAAGCCATAACCTCCTCTCGGGACCTTGCGAGCCCCCGGGAGGGAAGCGCCGCTGGCTGGGCTGGAGGGAGGGAGGCTGAGCCAGGCAGGGCGTGTCACTGCGAGGGACCAGGACGCAAACAAGGGCCAGTAGCCAAGGACCAGAGGGCCACCCCGGGTTCCCCACTCACGTGTGATGCCACCCCAGCACCCTCCCCTCCCGAGCAGGGTCCAGAATGTGCCAAGAGTCCCGCCGGCCTCGGCCGGGTGGGCCTGTATATAGGGTCCGTGTGCAATAGGAGGGACGTCTTCTATTTTTTGCTGCCCCCTCCCTGACTTGCCTGGGGAGGGGGAGAAGGTATTTTCGAGACAAAGCACAGGCACCACAAATAAAAGTCGTGATGTTGCCACTCAAGGGCTTGTCCCCAGCCTGGGCAGAGGGCTAGGGGCTTCCTCCTGCTTCCGAGCCTGGGTTGTGTGCGCCTGAGGTGCTGAGGGTGGGTCGGTGTTTGCTCCTGGTGTGGGGAGAGGCCCAGCCTGGCTGACTTGGTGGGAGAGGAGGAGGTGGGGAGGGCAGGGACCACCTGGGGGCCATGGACTTGGAGCTGAGGCGCTTAGGTTTGTTTATGAGACAGGTCTCGCTCTGTAGTCCAGGCTGGCCTTGAACTATGTCACCAGGTCGGCTGGAGACTCACGGCTGTTCTGCCCCAGCCTCCCGAGTCCTGGATTACAGGTGTGCACCATCATGTTCAGCTCTAGGGAGCTGGGGTTTGTAGTCAGAATCTTTGAAACAAATTTGAGCCAATCACTGATATTTACACTTTGGGGTAATGTGCACACAAAACTCTGGAGTTTCAGCTCCCTGGGAAAGCTGGAGGCTGAGGCAGTACTCATTTCCCAGTCCCATGTCACAAGCACAAGCTGAGCAGGAGCTGCCTTCAGTGGAGCGCCATCACCCACTCAGTGATCCCTGGTTCTGTCCTGCCTGCCAGGTGCGGTTCTGCCTGCTAGGTGCTTTAGTGAGCAAGAGAGGTAGCAGGGGTGGCAGCACATTCCCCTACTCAGGAGGCTGAAGCAGGAGGGTTGAAAGTTTGAGGCCAGCCTGGGCAAGTTAGTGAGACTGGCTCAAAATGCTAACATTTTAAAAGGGATAGGGATATAGCTCAGCGTAGTGATTGCGTGGGTATGCGAGGCTGGGGTCAATCACCAGCACCACCGACAAAATACAAAGGTGCGGCACTGTGGAAGAGGGGAGGCATCTGATGGCAGGCACAGCTCGGGTGGAGGAGAGGGGTGTGTGTGTTGCGTGCAGGCTGGCCTGGGACGCACTCGGCGGGGAGTGTGCATGAGCGCAAGGGCCTGCAGAGCCCCCCTTCAGGTGCAGGATGCGCTCTGAGGACCAGCTCTGAGGTCTCTGCACTGACAGTGGGAGAGGGTGAGGGACGGGGCCACCCGCTGAGGCTGAAGTCCCAGTGAAGACGATGACAGACCCGGGTCTAGAGCCCTGGAAGGCTCGGGCTCTGGGCGCCCCCAAGCCCAGGGTGTGCAGTTCCTGTGGAAAGTTCTTCCGCAGCCCGGGAGACGGACACAGAGCACGGAGGCTTGGGGAACTGCCCTGTTCCTGGCTCCTCCGGAACGTGCGACGGAGCCCCAGGGTGCCCTGGCCCCGTGGCAGCGGCGGGAAGAGGGAGGCTGAAGGCTGAGCCCGGCTGGCACGGGCCTTTGGCTGCCCAGCGGGAGCCTGGGTTTTATTATGGGTGGAGGGGGCAACGGAGCCGTCTGAGTAGGGGACAGACGCTGGGTAGCTGTGGGAAGTTGTCTTGGAGACCGGAAGTGGCCCGTGTTCCGGAAGGAAACCGAGGTCAGAGAGCTGGGGTGGGGGCAGTCCCGGGTCTGTGCGCTTCACGGCGCCATCTAGCGGCGCGGGTGGGAACAGCCCCCTAGGGGCGGGGTTATAGGCCTGGAGGTCCTGGGGGAGCCGCCACCAGGGGTTCCGGGGGCGCCCAATCTGCCCAAGGGTGGGGCCCAGAGAAAAGCCAGCCCTCATCAGCCAGCGGGATAATGGGGCAGCCTGTGGGCTCCCAACGACAGCGTGGCACACTCAGCAGGCAGCCAGCTCTCCAGGGCTGCACCCCTGGCAGGAGATGTGCACCAGGCAGAGACAAACGTGCTGGCCGACCGGCCTGGGTGTGCAGGGCAAGCTTCCCCAGACTGGGCATTTGAGCCGGGCTAGGAAGGTTGAGTAGGAGTTGACCAGGCAGAGGAACGCTGTTGGAGACTAGCAGAAAATCAAGTGAAAGACGCCTGTGCTCGAAGGGCCCGGGAGTGGGAAGGGCAAGACCGGTGTGCCCGGGGATGAGGTGGCGAGAAGTGGCGGGAGGGAAACGAATACTTCGGGGCTCAAAGGCCAGGTGATGGGGCTGGGAGGGCAGTGGGCAGCCACGGACGGAGTCTCAGCGAGGGTGCTCAGAAGACGGGCGAGCCGGAGGGAAGTGCAGGGAGGAAAAGGGGCCGGGGAAGCTTCCCGACTCCCTGGTAGCCGGCAGAGAGGGCGCAGCGTTGACACGGCCAGCTGAAAGGAGGCTTGTTTATAGGCTGGGCAGCACACAGCACAAGGCACAGGGTTCCGGGGTGCCCGCTGCCAGGGCCCCACGAGCTCTTGACTGGGCTCTGGGCCCCGGCCCCATCCGGCCACCCGCGACCGCGCGCAGGGAGGGAGCAGGACGCCAGCGGGCCAGCGTCTGTGCCGGCCGGGCCGGCTCGGCGTCCTCCAGGCCTCTGGCGTCCGTGGTCCCGCGGGGCGGGGGCCTGGTGTGGTGGTCACTTTTGGCGAAGGGGCCGGGGAGGGTCAGATGACCTCCGCTTTCATTTCGCTTTCCACCTTCTTCTTCTGCTTCTCCATCACCGCCTCCAGCTCGGACACTTTCTCTTTGTCCTGCGGGGCGGTGGTAGTCAGGCCCGGGCGGCTGAGCCCTCGGCGCCCCCGCCCTTCGTGCCGCCGGCCGGCCGCGCTCACCTCCAGCAGCGCGCGCTGCACCGTGAGCTGGCTGTGCACGCGCGCGCCCTCCTGGGGGCTCACCGCCCGCAGCTCCTCCTTCTGCAGCGAGAAGAGCTGGGCGCCCGTCAGCACTCCCAGTGCGTCCACAGTGCTACACGGGGCGGGGCGGGCGGTCAGGCCTGTCGGCCAATCACAGCTCAAGCCTCCTCCAGCCTTGCCAATCACATCAAACCTGCTTAGCCGCTTGTCCAATCAGAGCAGCATTTGGGAGCCTGAGTCCCCACCCATCAACCACAGCGCGTAGTTCAGGGGCAAGCACGCCCTCTTTTTTTTTCTTTAATGTTTTTCTTTTTGTTGTTTTGAGACAGGGTCTTACTACGCAATTCAGGCTGGGCTTGAACGCACTGTGTAGCCCAGGCTGGCCTCGAACTCACGGAGTGACCCCCGCTGCCTCAGCCTCCCGAATGCTGGGATTAAAAGCGTGCACCAGTACACCCGGAGTTTTAAAAGTGCTCTCTTTCTAGATGGGGGCGGGACTTCCGTGGAGGGCCAATTGGAGCCTGGGAAATCTACCCATTGCACCTATCGTTCATAATCACTCCATTTGGACCAATCTCTGCTTCCCGTGGTCTCCACGCCCCACTCCGAGCCAATCGGAACCTCCGCTCCCCGCTCCCGGCCTCCCCGCCCACTCGCCGGTGAGCCCCACTCACCCAGCGCTAAAACCCTTGGCCTGCAGCCAGGCGCGGACCTCCGCGGTGTCCGATCGCCGGCTGAGCTGCGGCTCCGGGGCGCGGGGCCCCGGGGCCGTGCGGCTGGGAACCGAGCGGCCCTGGGCCAGGCGCGCCTGCAACTCCTCGTTCACACTCAGCATCTGGGAAAATTTCTCTGGAGGCGGGAACCCGGAGGGAGGCAGTGCGTGAAGTGCGAGGGGTCGGGCCTCTAGCGTCCCGAGGATGGGTCGATTGAGAATCCATCCTCGTTCTTTCTCTTGAACCCACGGCCTTCGCATTGAGCTCCCCAACCCCGCCCCCCTTTTTAAATTTTTTGAGCCTGGATCTCTTTAAGTTACTAAATTGCTCCGGTTGGGCTCGAACTTGCGATCCTCCTGCCTCACCCTCCCAGGGTGCTGGGATTACAGGCTTCCGCCAGCATGCCCGGCCTGGTTTCCTCTTTCTAAGCCACCCTTCGCAGAAAAGAGGACAAGGCCTGCCCTTGAAGAGGCTGCCCCAGCACTCACCCTTCTCGCTGGGGTCCAGGTTGTTGAGGCAGTCGCAGCTGTCCCATTGGGGCCGAGCGGGAGCCGGGGCCGGGGCCGGGGCCGGGGCCGGGGCCGGGGCCGGGGCCGGTGGGTTAGGAGGAGGAATGATGTTCTCCTGGGGTGGGGGAGGCTCCTGGGTCAGGGGAAGGACTTCGAGTCCGGCCTGCTCCCGCTGGACGCGAACATCCGAGCCCCCAGTCTGAACCCTTGGCACTGGGTCCCACACCTCTTGCGTAGGTTCTGTGTTCTGACCCTCAGCCTCTCCTCCCTCAGGACCCCAGAGTCTGCCTTGGCTCACCAGGCTTCGCGCAGGGCTCTGGCTGCGTTCGCCTCGGGGCCCGGGGTGGGGTGTCAGGATATTATAGGGTACATATCCTTCCTGGCCCTGTTGGTCCCGAACCTTCCACCACTTGCGCCTGTCATCCAGGACCTGCGTGGGGAACGGAATGACTCAGGGCCCGGGCCTGCGGCTGGGGCTGGGCTGGGCTGGGCTGGCGGGCTGTTTCTGCCTGCAGCCCCCACCTAACCTCCAGCACCGCTCGCTGCTTGACTGACAGTTCGCTGCTGTTGCGGGCCTGGAAGTCGTAGTTACAAAGGACCCACTTTCCTGCTGCCTCCGGCTCCAGCTGCGGCTCTGGCTCTTGGTGACTGAGGAGAATTGGGAAGTTGGAGGTGAAGAGGCAGCCGGCCCCTCGGCAGGGGCTGTGAGGTGCTGGGGTGAGTCGGGGTTAGAGCCAAGCAGGGGGCCAGGTTAACGGGGGTCTGAGGTGGGAGTGACATAGGTTTGCATAGAGCTTGCTCTCTCCCTTGCCTGGCCCGGTGCTGGCCTACGATGTGGGTGTTATCAACAGCTCCATTTCATGGGGGCGTGACAGAGTGGCTCAGGAAAAACCCCTGCGATGTGTTGGGCACCTGCTAGGTTCCGGGCTCATGTGTCATGGTGACTGCTAGTAAAAGCAGTAGCTGCAGCTCTGTGTGCAGCAATAGTGCCCGGCTGTTTGAAGGCTGTTCTGTGGGCTGGCTGATTTGATCCTCCTGAGGACCCGTGGTAGAGCCATGAATTCGGGCCCCACTTTCCTCCTTCCCTAGGGAGCTCCTATCTCCATTTTCACCCGCAAAGATGCTTTGGCACAGTAATGTAAAGGCCAGGAAGCGAGGAAGAGGCGTAGGTGGACCGGGCCCCAGCACGGCGCGTCGCTGTCCTTCTGCCCTGCTGTGTGCGCCTGCGTGGGAGCTCAAGCTCGGCTATAGCCCTGCGCTTCACCGGCCCCTGCTTCCGAGGCCTCCTGCGCGTCCACAAGCACTGCCATTCTCCCTGTTTCCTGCAAGCGCATGAGGCTCAGAGGAGTGAGTGGAAAGCCGGAGGGGTCCCAAGCTCAAGATCTGGAAGCGCAGGGGGCCAGGGGTGGGGTCCTGCGACACCAGGCAGCTGAGGGACCGCAGCCCGGATCAGGCCTACCTGTGCAGGGGAGAGGGGGGGTCTTCAGGGCCGCGGCACCCCCTGTGTGGGGCTGGCAGCTCCCAGCATGCTGTCTCTGCTGAGACCCTCTGTCGGGGGCCCCAGCCAGACCCCCGTTCACCTCGTCTGGTTTCTTCCCTTCTCAGGCTGGCTTGCGCCGGTCTGCCCCCTTGCTTGCCCAAGGACCCTGGCCTTGCAGCCTCCGCCTGCCTTCTCCCTCCCCAGAACCAAGAGCCCGAGTCCCCACGGTGTGGAAGGAGCACGACTTTGGGTGCCTAGTTTTTCTTTTCCAGGATCCCAGGAGTCCAGGGCTCCTGCTTCAATTTCCTCGTCTTTAGCTCCGAGAGCCTTCCAGCCTGCACCCGGCAGGGACTTGGACGCTGCTCTAAAGCCTTTGGGAAGCCGCAAGTCCAGCCTCCCAGCTTTTAGCCCTGTCGGAGGCCCAGAGACAGCTGTGTCCCCACTCTCCCGGCAACCTGACCCCAAGCCCTTGAGGGCCCCGCCTGTTTCTCCGGGTCTCCAGGCTCCCCAGCGCCAAACCCGAGTTCTTCAAAACGCAAACATCCTGTCGCAGCCTCATCCTCTAACACCAGGACTGTGTGCCCCTGCTCAGGAGCCCAAGGATGGAGTGTCTTCCAAGCTGCGCCTTCCCAGCCTCTTGCGGACTTGGCGTCCAGCCTCCCAGACTACCCGCTCCCACAGTACCCACTCCCAGACTACCCACTCCCAGACTACCCACTCCCAGGCTTAGGGACCCAGCCCCGCTCCCCGTCCCCAGACCTTGCCCC